CCACTGGAGGGTCAGCTATGAGTTGACTCTGACTTGATGGCACATTACAAACACACTACATAGCATGATTCCTTCCAGGCAGCAGGCCTGACATCTCCATATGGCTAATTTCTTTCCATACTCCCTGTGCTCTGAGTCAGAGCTGTCAATTATTTTTAATAAACAAGCTGATGGTTTTACATTCCCTATGACAAGGTATGCATGCATTCAATGGTTAATACTTGTTTTCTATTTTGGGTTGTAATAATAACCATCTTAGTGAGTATCTCATTGTGAGTTTGATTTGTATTTATATGATAACTGATGATGTTGAGCATCTTTTCATGAACTTGTTGGCCAGCTGGATATCTGCTTTGGAGAAATGTCTATTCATGCCATTTACCCACTTTAGCATTAAGTTTATAGCAACGCAGATGGAACGCAGTACAGCATGAACACAGCACAGCAGGAATGCAGTACAGCTGGAACACAGCACAGCCAAGAGATGGGCCTGAGAGCTGGAATTTGAGTAAAGTCCCCTGGCATGATCAATTGGGGAGAGAGGCATGCCTCTCCACCTGGTGTGTATTTGTACACATGCCAGTCACCTCCAGAGCCCACACCTGACACTGGCGCCTGCACCTATGCCCAGTGTCCATGACAGCACCCAGCCCCAGCAGCCATCTACACACTCTGTGCCCGGAGCATGCCTCCTCACTCAGCGCCCTGCAACCACTGTCCGACTATGAGCTCAGTGCCCTGGCCTCCGAGCTCCATGCCTGCCGCCCCCTCCACACTCCACACCCGCCTCCATGCTCCACGAACCTCTACCCCTGCCCACCTCTACTCAGTGACTTCAGATCAAGAACATATCATCATCTCAGGCAAGAAAACCTCCAACACAGCAATGGAAAGAAGCAGGCTACCTCACAAACTATACAAGTGCAAAACAATATGTCACCCCAAAAAAGTGAAAGTCTGAAGGAATTTTCGAACACAGACATTAAAAGAACAATGACTGAACATTTTCAAGGGGTGAAAGACAAACTTGAAGAATTATAGGACACTGGAAGCAAAAACTAGGAGGAGCTTAAACAAACAATCCAAAACAATGCAGATAAAACACTTGAGGCATTAGAGGCACTGGAAAACCAAGAAATCATGATCCAAAATATGTGGTATGATGTTCCAGATGATGTCAACATGATGGACGGATGCATGAACAGAGTTGAAGAGATGGAACACAGAATTACTGAAATAGAAGGTAGAATTGTCACCACTTATCTGCTGCTAGAGCAAAAAGCAGAGCCGAAAAGGAAGGAAAAAGAAGAAAACCTAAGAATAATGCGGGACACCATCAAGAGAAAGAACATGTGCATCATCAGAATCCCAGAATAGGGAGAAGCAAGTAAAGGCATCAAAAAGGTGTTGCAGAATTACTAGAAGAAAACTTCCCAAGCATAATGAAGAATGAGAGAATATATATTCAAGAAGCTGAGAGAAAACCATATAAACCCCAAAAGAAAAACACAAAGGCATATCATAGACAAGTTTGGAAGAACTGATGACAAAGAGAGAATTCTGAAAACAGTGAGGGAGAAACAAAGAGTAACCACAAGGGAGAGGAGATAAGATTAAATGTCACTTTCTCAGCAGAAAGCATGTGAGCAAGAAGACAGTGGAAAGACATATATTGAACCCTCAAAGAATACAACTGTCAACCAAGAACAATGTACACAGTGAAAATGTCCGTCAATTATGAAGGAGAGATCAAGACAGTCCCAGAAAAATAGAACCTAAGGGAGTTTGTAAAAACAAGACCAGCGCCGCAGGAAACATTGAGAGACGTCATTCTTATAGAATATTATGGGAAAACTATATTCAAACAAGTATGAAAACCTAGAAAAAATGGACAAATACTTAGAAAATCACAAACCAAAATTCAACACTTGAATGTTGTTGTTGTTATGTGCTGTCGAGTCGTTTCCGACTCATAGCGACCCTATG